CAAAAACACAACAAAGCCAAAAAAAAAAAAAAAACTGTCAACTACCCCTTTAAAACTACATACCATGAAACAAAAAAAGTATTATTTTAAAATTATAGTGGATTTGGGTGTCCACCATGACACCCGCTGTGAGAAATACGGCAACTTCGGCAAGCGGAGTAATACAAACGGTGAAACGGCTGTTGGAGTTCTGTTATCACTCTAATATCGCACTCTTATCAGCCAATCAGATTCAAGGACCAGAAAGAACTGTTGTGTGTATGTGTATATATATATACAGTATATATATATAAAGAACTGTTGTGTGTGTGTATATATATATATATATATATATATATATATATATATATTTTTTTTTTTTAATAGCCTATTAAATAAATAAATGACCACCTGACCAACGCATTAACTAAAACATTCAGCCAGCATCACGCTGAAAATAATAATTTACTGACATCTGGACTTAAGTCACTATTCTCTGCATTAGCACTGTTTTGAACTTACTGTTTGAATTCGCTTACTGGATCCTTGGACTTTCCAGGAGTTTATCGGTTTAAAAAGATGTGATCGCAAAAACCTGCTTCTTTTCATTTTTAAGGTATTGTTTTCATTATAATTTACTGATTCAAATTAGTAATCAATAATTAATTATTATTCTACTACTCTGCACCCCACCCCTGACATTCTCGCGCCCCACGCATTGAAAACCCGTGAGGTAGACCGACTCCGCCTGTGGTCATTTACATGATTTGTCGAGATGAGAGGTGACCCCTCCTGAGTAGTGTGATTTATATAGTGTCATTTCTAATCACCCAAGCACTGACGCATTGACTCTGAGTACCGGCTATTTCGAGAGTAAATCCAGCATAAATATGCATGTCATTCCCGAAACATTGCAGCGTCTATGAGCCCAAAAACCTAAAGTTTCATACAAATTCTGAATGGATTAGCATATAGCCTAGAAAGTGTGCAAAGCACGCTCCCTTTATTATCACTAAAAAGCATCACTCATCTTAGTTTATCGATCGCAATCTCACAAAGTTCCGTTATAATCAACCCAGTCAACAATTTGATCTCACAGTGATGTCACCATGAGCTCCCAGGATACTCGTGATGAGGTCACAATGTGAGGTCACAGTGAGCTAAAAGTGTAACCTCACAGTGCCCTCAATGTGCGCTCATACTAATGTGAGGTCAAAGTGCACTCACTGCACAGAGACTAGGTACCCATCATGCATTGCAGCATTAAGCTTTTGATTGTCACCATTGTTGAGATTCATACACTGATTTTTGATGTTTCTCTTTGTTTTTAAATGTCACAGAAGTTCAGAATGCGTGTAACTCATCATGCTTTTAAAATCCTTCATAAATTTCCACACTGTTGTATCCTGTACTGTATAATCAAAGAGCTATTTTAATTCAAAACTTTAAATTACCAGCTCCTCACAAAGCCTGCATACTGAATCAGGGTGAAGATTGTGTTGTTATCATCAATAACAAACTGATATAACCTGGTTGCAGTCTCTTTGGTATTCCTTGCAATAACAAATGTGCTTTTCAAACACAGTTACAGCAGCCCCCAAAAATATAACGTTATAAGGTCAAGGGTCAAGAGCCCAACTAAAGCAAACACTTATATATATACAATACTCATTTTGTGAAAGAAACACTTCTTCAAATTATATTTTAAATGATCATTAGGCCTATTGCTGCTTGCCCACTTCAGACATTAGGCCTAATGTGCATTTTACTTCTTCAAATTATAGCTAAATGGTTTGTAGTGATTAATTTTAAATCTAGATTAAATCAAGGTTTATCTAATAATTCTGTTGCACCAAACTTTAAACCTTTAAAAATAAGCAGGTTTACATTTTAACCCATCATTTTGATCCTGGATTTAAGTTATATTTAAGATTAACATTAATCCTGTTGCACCATAACTTTAAATCTCGATTATGGATTAACTTTAAACTTAATGGAGGTTTAAATAAAATAAAATGCACATGAAAATAAAATATGTAACTGATCAAACAAAAACAGAGCAACAACTGAATGCTACCCCAGATAGTCGTTCAGTGTGAAACCAACAGTGATGCGACGTCTTTGAAAATCGTGCAGTGTGAACTAGGCATAAGTCTTTCCGA